TATTGACGAGTTTCTATTGTGGGATAAGCATATTGATAAAATTGCTAAGAAGATTTCATCCGGAATTGGGGCGATCAGAAAGCTAAAATCTGTGTGGATCATAATACATTAATTTGTGCTTATAATGCACTTATACTTCCGCACCTAGATTATTGTTGCGAAGTTTGGGACACCATTGGTGCCACACTTTCTGATCGACTCGAGAAACTACAAAATAGGGCAGCTAGAGTTATTACTGGCCGTAAAAACGAACATGGTCAATCTGAACTTGCTCTAGACGAACTGAAATGGAAACCTTTAAGTGAACGCAGAACACATTTCGTAGCATGTCTTATGTATGAAATAACTCGCGAACTGGCGCCAAAACGACTAACCAACATTTTTCAAAGGACGTCTTCCTCTTATTACTATAATATGCGAGGCTCTTCCACCAAACTCTTTTTGCCCAAACCTAAGACTGAATATCTTAAAAAAAGTCTTAGTTATAGAGGAGCAAAATTGTGGAACAGCCTTTCAGATGAAGCAAGAAACAAACATTCTCTTGCTTCGTTTAATTCATGTATACGACACCTGGCCAATCAATAGAATATTACATAGTACTAACATTAATTTAATATGTAAATAATTATATACTAGTTGTATTTGTAAATGTATTGTAATTGTTGTTAACTGTAATGTAATGTATGACCATAATTTGTATTAATTGTATTTTTTAACTATTTAAATCTACGCCCCCCTTGGAAATCAGCTTTCGCTGTAGGGGTTAGCGTGATTAAATAAAGTTTTACCTACCAACCTACCTACCTACCTACCTACCTACCTACCAACCTACCTACCTACCTACCTACCTACCTACCTACCTACCTACCTACCTACCTACCTACCTACCTACCTACCTACCTACCTACCTACCTACCTACCTACCTACCTACCCACCTTGTATTTAGGCGCTTTCGTCTACAAAGTTTCGTTTGAACACGGCACAGAGTACAAATATTCATTTTGAATTTTTCAAAATATCGGGTTTTTACTCACACGCACGCGCCACGTTGATGCTTGACCATATTTTATAGCTCGTTCGACCAGTGGCAAGGTTTGCACCTGGATACAGAATCGATTTCTGGTTTTTCAGACGCCTACGTACGATTTAATTAAACAGCGCATTGTTTTGATGTACGTTTCATGGGCCGCGCTCAAAATATAAATATTCTGTAAATATCAAAATAAAAGATGAAAATCTGAAGACACAAGCTTGAAAATAACACTATAAATAGTGCTTTGGATTCTGGTTCCAATAATACTATTACGAAATAGATATGTCCAAACGGGCCGAGGTTTATATGTTCGGCGAAATGTATGGCTAGTTCACATTGTTCCTTATATTATGAAATATGATACCATACCTTAATTGTATTAAAATTCGCGTCGAACTAATGTTACTGTATTATAAAGCAAATGAGAACCATACAATAAATGTTTTAGTCCTTGTTGGTATTTTGAACGCACGCTTTATCTTTACTGTAGCGCTAGCTACCACAAAGCTTTTCGCCCGGATTATATTTCGCGCAGTACTAAAATTTGCGCACCCAGCGCTACACGAATTCTAGTACTGCGCGAATTTTAATACATGTACGTAAGATATATTGTCGACAATTGGCTAAAACTATCGTAAGGAATTAGGAGATTTTGTTTAATTAAAACTACGTTGTGTAGTCAAATTGTCAATTACCTTAAATTGTCCTTGTTTATATTCCACTGTATTGTATAAGTTCGCTGGGTTCAAATTTTGGGGTTTTCGAGTCGTTTAATACAAAAAGAAAAACATTAATTCTAGGGACGCCGGAAAGTCGATAATTGGGTGGGAAAGGGCAGATATTCATATATTCATGTTCTGCATCATTTATTTCCATTGAAAGCGATTGTTTTTACAGTCTGTGAACACGAATATATGAATATCTGCCCCCCCCCCCAATTATCGACTTTCCGGCGTCCCTGATTAATACAACGCGTAAGAAAGTCCAGAGAGCGACACAAAAATGAACACAAGTACACAACGGATGTTTATGAGTTTACAACGTATATTTACAGTTGTTTATTAAAGTCAAAATGTCAAACCTTTAACTTGTACTTGTTAATTGTATTCCACTATATTCTATGTTCCACTCTATTCAAAATTAAAATTTGCTGGGTCCAAATTTTGGGGTTTTCGAGTCGTTTAAACACTAATAATTAATTCATCGTTACATTAACTCAACACGCAAGAAGGTCCAGTCGGTGCGACGCAACGTGAAATTGATAGGAAACCAGCACAACTCTTTGAAAATTCAACGAAACTGTGTGAAATATATTTTGATCACTCAGTCAAAATCCGCCATTTTGTACGAATATGTCACCCTTGGAGTTTGGAATTATGCGCGTGCGTACAAGTCAATATATGGGTTAATAAACGAAAAATGTACCACAAGCATGGCATGAGTCGGCTATTACGTACATAAATGCGAGCTTGTTACTATAATATATAAAACGTGGAATCGAATAATCAATGGCATTTTGGCTTAATCTTTGCTCCCTGAGCCTGCGATGCCCTAACGCAAACTCCATTTCTTGACGACGAAAACAGAAAATTAGGGATTTAAGACACTTAAGAGGATTTAATAGAGGTCAAAGCCAATGCTGACCCTATAATGAAGATATTTGAACCATTTCTAAATACGGATAGTGTTTCACTTTTGAACAATCCAACACAATTTATTCCAGTTCAAGTATTACGTGATACTGTAGCGTCTCAATTCTTAATACTGACAAACACATTGCAATTTTCTGCGGAATCATATTCCGGAAACAACGTTTTGATAAAAGGAGTTCACTCCAGCGATTATAGTTCAGTTCCTTTGCACAACAGTTCAACTGCACTCAGACTTAGTCTCCGGAGATGTTTCGATAGGTATCATCGATACGTTGCCTTTCGATGGAATACAATTGTTATTAGGCAACGATCTTGTGGGTGAAAAAGTGACAGTCAATCCAATAGTCACAAACAAACCATGGTCAACATCAATTTCCGACGTCATTGAACAAGAAATTCCAAATTGATATCCATCGGTCACAAGAGCAATGGTAAAACAACAAGAATTAGAGAATAGTAAAAGAGATGAACTTGATTCATCCTATGATTTGTCCGATACCTTTCTTACAAAGTTATTTGAAAGTGGCCCTAAACAACACAGAATATGAAAAACGATGCGATAAACACAAAAAGCTTGTCAACATTTGATCTCATTCACGAGCAAAATAATGATCCCGAAATAACTATTCTAATTCAACAAGCTTTCGATGAAAGAGAAATTTCAGACCAGGCAATGGGATACTTTATCAAAAACGATATTTTAATGCGGAAATGACGACCACCTGATGTTAGTGTTGATGACGAATGGTCAGTTCGAAACCAAATTGTTATCCCAAAACCTTTCCGTGAAGAAGTCTCACGTTTCGCACACGAAACACCCCTTTCAGGTCATTTGGGGATAAACAAAACCTATGAGAAAATCATACGACATTTTTATTGGCTTGGAATTCTAAAAACCGTGGCAGAATTCTGCAAAACATGCCACACTTGTCAAGTAGCAAGCAAACCAAATCAAGTTATCCCAAAAGCACTGCTAAAACCAATTCCAGCTTTTGAAGAACCATTTAACCGAATTATGATTAATTGCGTCGGACCATTACCTAAAACTAAGCGAGGTGACCGATATTTATTGACAATTATGTGTGTTTCGACACGTTTTCCTGAAGCAATACTACTTCGAAATATCAAGGTTAAAACCATTGTACAAACACTTACAAATTTTTTCACTTTAGCTGGTCTTCCAAAATCTACCCAGTCTGACCATGGTTCAAATTTCATGTCAGGGTTGTTTCAACAAATTATGCACGAACTGCGTATTAAACAATACGACTCGTCAGCCTATCATCCAGAAAGTCAAGGTGCTCTAGAAAGGTTTCACCAAACATTGAAGCAAATGATTAAGACATATTGTTTTGAAACTGAGAAAGATTGGGACGATGGCGTCCATTTCCTTTTGTTCGCTGCTCGTGAGTCAGTTCAGGAATCATTAGGGTTTAGTTTTCCATTTGAGTTAGTTTTTGGTCAAGCGGTTCGGGGACCGCTCAAGCTTTTAAAGGAAAAGTTGCTTGCCGACGACGGTGGTTCATTGATTCTTTTACAGTATGTATCGGGCTGTCGTACCAAATTAACTAAGGCTTGTGAACTGGCACGTAATAACCTTCAAACAACTCAAAATCGCATGAAGCACAGTTACGACAAAAACACCGTATCTCGGAATTTTCAGAACGGATATAAGGTTCTTGCACTTCTCCCGTTTCCTGGAAACCCCTTGCAAGCTTGGTATTTTCGGCCATATGTTATAGAAAAAAGAGAATGATTTAAACTATGTAATCATAACTCCAAATAGACGTCGAAATACTCAGCTTTGCCACGTAAATATGCTTAAAGCATATCACGAAAGAAAGAAAGTAGTACAGCCAGTAAACCTAGTGAGTTCACGTAGAGATAGTCACGATAATGAGGATGAATCTGAACTCTCTAGTTTGTCTAAGACAACAAAATTGGGCAACTCCGACGTTTTACGAAATATGGATTCGAACCATCTCAATGTCAGGATGTTTTAGACATGCACAATTATTCCCTGTCGTTCCTTCCCGAACCAAAATGATTTCCCGCGACGTTGATATTGGCGACGCTTCCCCTATAAAACAACTCGTTTACCGATTGAACCCAACGAAAGCAAAACACCTAGACCAACAGATCCAATACCTCCATGAAAATGATATCATCGAACACAGTCAAAGTAGTTGGAATTCACCCTGTATATTAGTTCCGAAACCAGACGGTAGTTATCGGATGTGTACGGACTATCGTAAAGTAAACAACCTCACGATGTCGGATAATTTTCCTATTCCTCGGATGGATGATTGCGTGGATAAAATTGGAAATACTAAGTCTGTGTCGAAAGTTTCAAATCCCTTTAAGCGAACGTGCCAAAGAGGTTTCAGCATTCGTAACACCACGTGGATTATATCAATACAAAGTGATGCCATTTGGAATGCGGAATTCCCCTGCCACCTTCCAACGCCTTATCAACAGGATAATTTCACAGATCGACGGTTGCGAAGGTTATATTGATGCCATGAGCATTTATAGCGACACATGGGAAGAGCATCTGGAAATATTACGCAAGTTTTGTCAAACGGTTAAGCGAAGCCAAGTTAACCATAAATTTATTCAAAAGTGAATTCGGTTGTGGTCATCTTACATATTTGGGCCAAATCGTTGGCCAGGGCCAAGTCAAACCCATCAACCCCAAAGTCGTAATAGTATATATATATATATATATACTATTACGCTCCTTCACTTCGGTGTTGTTGAGCACTCTGCGGAGTTGTTAATGGGTGACTATTAGCGATAATGCAAAGCTCGCTTCCCTTGTGGTTGTTTGAGCACTCTGGCCCCATTACGCTCTGCGCATGTCTGGATGCGTTGAGTCACCGTGTTGGACCACATGCCTTGGTGAGAGCAAGTTCATGGGGTATAAATACGAGTGTCTTACGTATCTAGACGTGTACCAAGCTGCACTGACGAGGCGTTGAACGCCGAAACATGCATGTCTGCAGATTGTACTATATATATATACAGGGTGTATCAAAAAAAGCGCAATCCTCGACTGAAATGTAAATTGCTAAGCAAATAATAGACGAAAACGTTAAAATTTACATTCATTTTAAAGCGTAGCCATTCAGCTTTCTAACAGTGGGTTGTTTCTCAAATTTGACTTATTGGTTCGCGGGTAATAATACTTTACGTTATTGCGATTGGAGATTAAAAAAATTGAGATGGAATAACAAATCGTTCTTTATGAAAATAACTGATTTTTTTCATTAAAACAAAAAAATATTGCATTTTATTAAATGGATTGTAACAATAAGTATAATTACGGCTTTTCTTCCACTATTTTAAACTCAGTTTGAAACTTCAAATGCGATATAATTTTGGCTTTGACCATCTAAGCTGACTGACATCAACTTGCTATAATTTCTGTTTACATTACATCGCAATTCGATGACACTCTGGCTCAGACACCAGAATGTTTTGACGATTTTTAGCATTCGTTTAGGATTTTCAAACAACCTGGTCTCTTTTAAAGTACTTTTAATTTGTTCTTACATGGTTTTCCAGATGTAGGGACGACAACATTAAAGTTTAAAGAAGAAAATTCTAACATTTAAACCGACTAAACAATAACATAGTAAACTAGCATAATTAAACAGCAACTAAAATGATAGGTTTTACTAAATCTTTTCCTGTGCAATTATTACAAGCATTGGAGACAAGGATAATAGTTTATTTGAAAGAGAAAAGAACAGGCTTTGAAGTAAGCCTAAAAGCGTTTAACTAGAAATAGTATTTCGAAAGTTATTAAGCACAAAAGATGAATTGCGTTTATTTTGATACACCCTGTATACCTTGCTCTTCATGGACAAGATAAACCAGTGAATGTATAAAGAATATGGCCAGAGCAATTGAATCCAATGGACCCAAGTGCAATTGATCTGGACTATATGGAACTGGATGGACACATGTTAGTTATATTGTTTCTGAACTATGCGAGTATTTGCACCCACTAATTGCCGAAGGAGATATCTTAGAGGTCTATGTTCAGCATATCAAGTATAGGGTTGACGTTTTTAAAATAGGATTTTATCCAAAAATTTCATAAAGTAATGTGGTGAGTGGGAGACTCAAGTGGTAAAGAAGAGCATGAGTGTATGTTGACAGATGTTTGTGATATAATAGCAACTGACTAGGTTTAGCAACTTATAGCAAGTTATAGAAATGCTGTTATTTCAATTTGCTAACTTTTTAGATTTTTTGTCAGCATTTTTAAACAAAAACTAGGTTAATCACAAGTGGGTGCAATTAAAACAATGTCTGCCATGCACACTCATGCAATTAAGTACATAATTGTAACATGTGCTGTACACTAAATGAATAAATAAATAGTTTATACATCAACTAGACCAACTTTGTGAGTATTTTTTCATTAAAATTAATGCAACAATAAAACAAAAATATGTCTTTTTATATATACATATTGATCCAAGGTCCCACAATAACTTGCTGCTGATACTTTGTGGTACATTATATCAGAATACAAAAAAAACCTGCATATAATGCATCTATCAATGTTAAGTCCCAGATCTGGGGTATTTGATTATTAATTGCATATAGCTGATTTATATATAGCTGATTTAATATTACTATAATTACATAGTTGATTATTGAAAATTCTCCCCGCTGATTGGTCGCCGTTGAGGCGATTATAGCCCGATAATCACGTAAGCGATTTTCAAAATGGTGGCCGAAACCGTTTTGTCAATTAAATGACGAAGAAATGTGTATTCTTTTATTTTTTCTAAATAATCACCTATATGAAATTATACTAAAACAATTATTCACCTCAGGCTCGGTGATTATCGTGAATAAAAACCCCTCCTTTGGCGAATAATTGTTAATTAATTACAGCAATAAAACACAGTCATGGGAGAAAAATAAAGCATCCATGGGAAATATATAGGGGACACAATAAGAAGGTTGTAATTCAAACCAGTCTATTGCACCACAATTTACACTTAAAGAATACTTTCTGTAAACGATTAAACGCATGTCAAATAACGGATTTCTTTTTAAATACAATCCATTATACTGTAATTTACGATAACAGTATACTTACTGGAAAAAATAACAGTACATCATTATATATGGCGAGCATCACTTCCTGGTGAAATGGCGGACTGTGATTGGCTAAGATAATTTGTTATTAATAAGATATCTGCTTAAAAGAAGGAATACATTGGTATTTTTTTGTTTTCTTCGACCAAATGTGTACCACGCTGCTAATATGAATTTCAAATCATGCATTTCTTGTTTGTTTCAAGTATAAATGCCATATAATAAAATTTTTATTAACCTCGCTTGCTCGGTATTTACATGCAGAGAAATATCGGACCTCGGACTTTTTATACATATCACTCCCTACTGGCTTGGTCTATACAAAAAAAGTCCCAGGTCCGATATTTCTCTGTACAGACCTCGCGTTCGGTTAATAAGAAGTTGTACTTCTTTTCTACGTTACTTTAAATTTGGGCATTTTAATTACCGTTACTGGAAATCGAGTTCTCAATTTTAAGAGAACAGAACTGAACTATTGTGACTTTGATCAAACACTGTGGTGCAACACATGTAAATCAACTTCTGAAGGCTCTGGTCCTAAGTGGGATTGACCCTTTACATTGTTTGTTGAGCTGGATTTGGCGTGATTCTTATGTTCAAGAATATTTAGAATCATTCTTTTGTTCCTATTGTTGTTGACACTTTTGAAGTCCACCCCAATACAGTGCATGGTACTAACACTTGCTGAAGACAACTAATACCACAACTAATTCAACTGCTGCATGTCTGTTGCATCATAAAAGAGCCATAACCTACTGAAGAAATCAGTGCTGTGTCATAGTGTCAAATTGGAAACATGCAGCTTCTCCAAAGCTTTTTGTTGTAGTAGTTGAATCAATGTTACTCAGCATACGCAAATTCATGTTTCATATTTTCATTTGATTTATTAGATATCGACGAATGTGCTCGTGGTTACTGTGATCCAAATGCAGACTGTGTAAACAGTGTGGGATCATTTTATTGCACTTGCAGATCTGGTTTTACTGGAAATGGACGCAACTGCTCAGGTAATGAAATAACATGTGATACGATGTTCTGTAGAATTAGATAATTATCATGAGATAGCTATTTGACTATCTGACAAACTAAATTTCTACAAACCGGCAAACAAAGTTCACCAACTTGTCCTGGAGTGTTTTAGGTGCGACGAAATTTGTAGAATTCCAGTCCGGTGCAGTTTTTTTTCCATTAACTACTCATTCCCATAGATATCTTATATACACTAGATAGCGCATCTCTTTTATTAAAATTGAAGCCAAGAATGTTCCAGCGGTTACCCCCATTTGAAAAGATGGCGGCCTTATTGGTCGTTCCCACTTGCAAATAAACGCTTAAAAACAACAATAACTTTCATCATTTGAATAGTTTAAAAACGTATTTGGCATAGGGTTAACTTAGTGTTTAAGTTCCCTGTTTAAGAAATAGAAAACACACGAATCTTCTCATTTAATGGGAACGACCTGAGACTGCAATCACGGCTTCAATTTTTGAATTGCAGAATAATTAGATGCACTATCTAGTATATATAAGATATCTATGCTCATTCCCCACTATATATACTGCTTTACTAAAATCTTTATAGAAAATTTCTAAAATTTATATAGATAGAAAACAAAAATTTGTAATGCAAAAACATGTTCTCGATTTGTAATCCGAAAATATGTTGTCATGCTTTTTTTTTAAAATGATATTTCATAATTATAGTTTTTAGTTTGCTATAAGCATAGAAACAATTAGCCTATCTCACGACGGCCAAATTCGCCATTTTTGGGGTACTTTTTTAAAACTTGACGACATGAAAAATCCAAGCGATGTGAAAACATTTTTTCAAATATTTAACTGTAAATTAACTTATAATGATTATACTCACAATTATAGTTAAACAAATCCCTTATTCACTGCGTACAATCTCAGATTTGGAAAAGATAGTAACTCAAAAATGGCGGCGTGAGAAAAGCTAATTGTGAGTCATCGTGTTTGTTTTCAAACTACAAAGAGTAACATGGTGCCAAATTCGCATACGCGCTTAGAAATATCAGCAAACTATATGTGTTACCAGACCCAACGGAATTTTAAAGAAAAAAGACCAAAATAAATTAACACTCCTATACATGTACATACCTGTAGATTTTATTTTTGTGGAGGTAGCCAATCTTTAAATGGAGCTAGACTATGCCACATTCTCGTACCCAGAGCCCGCCTTATACACACGATCAACAGGGCATGACAAGGACGCGGTGTACGAGAATGGGTTTGCCTCAACCGTCAACTGCAGATCAAAATTTAGTCTCTGAACGAGAACAAAATGCCAAGTGTGTCAATGTCATGTTTATGCGCATATTCTGGGTATTTCAGACTTATTTAATACAGCGGAATATAGAAGTGCATCCTGAGAGTTCTTGCAGTTATTCATGCAGTTATTCCAGTTAGTCAGTAACTCCTGGTTTAGATAACAAGCTCCAAATGATTTTTGGAGTTAGCAACACAGCAAGTAACTTCAACCTTGCATGTATGTACCTAGCGGCTATAGGCTGACTCGCCTCGCTATACACATACTTTTTGGAGTTAGGCAGTAACTCAAGGCTTAGTTACCTTGTTTTTTCATGATTTTTGGAGTTATACGTAGCTCCAATTGATTATTGGAGTTAGCCAGTAACTCCAGGCTTAGATGCCTAGCTCCTAAATTATTTTTGCAGTTGTATACTTAGCTCCAAATGATTTTTGGAGTTAGCCAGTAACTCTAGAATTCATATTTCAACTCTTGAATTACACAAGTTACTCAAGTGTATATTTTGGTTTGGAGTTAGCCCTTTAGAGCTTGGAGGTAGTGTCGCTCCATAACTTCCTACTTTCTACAGGCATGCCGAGTGCTAAATTGTTTCAATATTTCAAACTGTATTTCCGCTCGAAGCTCTCGCGTAAAGTTTAGATATTCTGAAATACCGAAATAAAAGATGCAAATCTATAGATACAAACTTGAAAATAACACTCTAAATAGTGTCTTGGATTGTGATTCGAACGTCGTCGTACATATTTGTTTACATTGTTCAAAGTGTATTTCTATATAGGTATGACTAGTTTACATTGTTCGAGTACGGCAAGTTTATAACTTATGGCTATTTTACATTGTTCGAGTATATAGTACCTTTCAAGCGGAATTTTTTGGTGGTATTTTCGTATATCTACTACAAATACTCGCGAAGTTCTTTATATTAATAACGTCGGAAATCTCATGGCCGGACGGCATTGAATTTATATGATGAATTACAAATTTATCGCAACAGTTCGGAAACTTTCGTAGATGCGCGGGATTTAACCTAACCAAAGAGCCTGTTCGCAGGAGAAGTGAACCGTCCATGCACTGCATACATACATGTCCCTAAACCTCTGCCGACAACATATGGCGACTACTGTTCCAGTAGACGCCAAAAATATATAATTCATGAGGACTTTACAAAGGTAATTACTACCCTGTTGGTGCATTTTACATGTGATAAACAATCATGTTAATTTGCATAATCTTTTCTTTACTTACCCGGCTTGAACAACGTTGATTTTCAAAATTACCTCGCCAATGAACTCGTAAGATGGATAGTTTTTAAAACACTCGTAGTCGTGCTTTATCAGATAGAGGACACTCCTGCTTGTGTTTTAACTAGTAGATAGACCGCTTTTACTAGCCTATATATACTTTTGCATTTCAAGAAATATATATTTAGCACTCAACTAACATTACAATAGCACCATGTAAGATAAGTAACTTATTTGTTGTTCTTTTTAGAAACCTGTGAAGATGAAATTGTATTCTACTCTACATCATCAGAGATTATATCAAATTCCTCAGTCAGCATTCCTACTGCAGATAATAATATATTAGGATATGACAAATACAACCGAAGATTGTTGTATTATGATGATACGCAGAACCTATACAGTGTTGGTTTGAATGGTTTGAATTCGACAGTTCTTATCAATAAAGCAAATATTGCAAAGTTTGCATATGATGGTGAACGTGGTGTTCTATACTACCAAAATAGTAGAACATTAAAAATCAACTCAGTCAATATTAGCAGTGGAGAAGATGTTGCGGTTCAAGCTTTGGATTCCCTTTCTGGTATAAAAGGCATGGAGATGGACATAAAAAATCGGTAATTGTCTTCAATTTGTATATTATAAACTTATTTATATGTACACTTGAATGTCTGTAATAGACTCCAAAGTTTAAGTGGGCATGTGCTTCAGCTCTTTATAGTTGTATGTGATTTGAATAATACCGGGGCGGGAGTTGAGACACTGTCTATAAACGCACTCGTGGAATATGTATTCTCAGTTTCACGCTGCAATGTAGCAATCACTTTTATGGAACAAAACAATCAGCATTTTATGAGACTGCAAGCAGGATATTGTACAAAATACATAAACGTAAACAATTATAACCCACTCTGCGCATCAGATTTCGCAATGATTTTGCAATTTGTTGTTGTTTTTTTATTAACTCCCAGAGACTGAGATTGACTGTCTGTTGCGGGACTATATTATTGAGGATGCGAAAAAAATCAATCGGCAGGAATCGAACCTGCGGCCCTGCGATTCCGGTGCAGCGTCTAACCAACTGAGGTAGACATATTATAGATGTGAACTTGTGATTGGAGCTCGACCGGGGCCCCGGCCCCGGCCAAAATTGGCACCCCCGGCCCCGGACCGGCCCCGGCCAAAATTCTGGAAATTTGGCCGGGGATTTCAAGCTCAAATTTGTCAAATTCTTTCTATTATTATCTTATAATTGTCAAGATTCAGGGAACCTTAGCAAAACTAAAAACTAGTAAAAACGTAGTAAAAACGTAGTAAAAACGTAGTAAAAACTAAGTAAAAGTTAAAACAGTTTAAAAAAATCGACAAAATTATATCGAAAGCAACGAACAGAAAAGATACGTACCATTTATTAGTGATTGGCAATACTATCGAAAAAGTATCGAAATCATCGATACTTACAAAAGTATCGATACTTTCGATACTCGCAAAAAGTATCGGTAATGCTTCATGAAGGCAACAGACTGAAGGCCCCTGAAGGCAAAAAATGTTGACATGATGCTGTTCTTAAACAAAAACATGTAGCTAATTAGCAATATATTTGAGGAAAACATTGTTGTTTTGATTTAAAATCATAATTGCAAATGTTATGTTCGATTAATTGGCAGGTACTCCAGTTAGAGTATTCTTTGACTTGTTTTAAACATTAATGTTCGTGTTTTAAAAGTTATTTTAATAAATGGAAAAAATTGAGTATCGGTATCGATTTTGGTATCGGTATCGACCAAAATTCATGGTATCGGACTGGTATCGTATCGAAACCAAAAAGCTGGTATCGCCCATCACTACCATTTATTCTCGTAAAATGTTTCCAATATGGCTGACGATAGCAATAAACCGCTGTCCAGTAAATTCCACTGGCCTTTCCAAATCCCGCTTAAACAACATCGCTCAACATCACATAATATCAATGTTCGACCCAATCTCGTACTCAGAGCAATGCCTGTGCGCGGGCTAGGATGGCATTGGCTCTGGGGAAATTGAATTTTTCTTGTGCTGTGATTGGTTTAACGTTTATCAATCGTGCATGCCGACAAAGAACCGGAACCCCTAAATTTAGGGGTTCCGGTTGTCAATTTCCCCAGAGCCAATGCCATCCTAGCCCGCGCACAGGCATTGCTCTGGGTACGAGATTGTGTTCGACCAGTCCCCGGCCCCGGCCCCGGCCAAAATCATGCATCCCCGGCCCGGCCCCGGCCAAAATCATGCCCCCGGTCGACCACTGGGCCTCGACGACTGTCCTCTGTAGCTCAGTTGGTTAGAGCGCTGCCCCAGAATCACAGGGCCGCAGGTTCGATCCCTGTCAGGGACCTGTAGTGGCGTTTTTCGCAGCTGTTCCTGGTTAGATCTAATAAATGTACATAAATTTCCACTCGATAATTTCCATCTACAAGACCTTCAACTGCATATTAGTGAAAGCTTTGATGTGTTTCTCAGCATAATATTTGAAAGAACTGTTTTTTAATCTTGAGGGTTTTTTTTACCAACGTTCAGCTGACGTTTGTTGGATCTATTGTATATTGGTAAATTACGTAAGAAATGTTGCATCTCAACTTTTGCCATCAGTTAATGAAATTAGCCATTTTAATCCTTTAAGTACATGCAATGCGCCCAACTGCGTCCTACTTAATTATTTTACTCTGTCTAACGCTAGATTACTTTACTCGTCAGGGGGAGAGTGCTGCCACTCAATGGGTTAATTACAAAGAAACCGATTTTTTTAAAACTGGGTTTTGACGGTTGGGTTTGTAGTATATCTTCTGCAATTTGAATATTGTAATCAAATTACCGACTCTGGTTTCCGCCAATTTTGCATAAGTTAATAGTTTATTGAAATATTTAGATTTGATTACTTTATTTTGACATTTTTATAGGTACCTAGTAATTGCAAAGTCATCGGATCCTCCTATTGTTAGATTTGATATTACATCACTTGCAACCCAAGATATAAACTTTGATGGCTCCGCTCAGACATTGTCTGTTGATCAAGATAATGAGGTCGTATACTGGGACAATTTTATCGTTTCTACAGGAACATATAATCTTACAAGATCATCTTACACTGGACAAACAGTGCCTCTTAATATCAGTTATGACGCAGAAATTGATCTGGCGCAAGACTACATGCATCTGTATGTGTTGGACAAGGAAAATAATAGAATTGACAAATATAACAAACGCACATGGGTAAAGATAAATGTTTTCAATATTAATGCTGGGTCACGAAAATTAATCGTAGCATTTGGTGAGTACCTGCTGTTGCATTTACTGTACTAAAATATGCTTGTATTTGAGTGACTTTGAATACTGATGGGACAAGGTTGCTCTGTGTGTCGCCTACATTGGTATTTGTGGGCCTGTTGATCAACACATTGAGGAATAACAAACACTTCATGCCCAGTACCTGCGCATCACCACTTTAGGAAATACATATCACAATAAGAATCAAGAAACTTTTTCTGACCATGCAGGTATCTTAACTGTGGTATTGCGAAGGTTTTCATTCTTCTCTTGTCTTTTCAGATTACGATGAATGTTGTGTGGGAACATACTGCCCCGATATGGTCAACATATCCAAGTGTTTAAACACGCCTAGTAGCTTTGTATGCATGTGCTATGAAGGATATTTTCTTAATGGAACCATCTGTCAAGGTAAAAACTTCAAAACACAGCACAGTAGAGTTCTTAAAGTTCATTAACTATAGACAGCATTCTGCAGAGACACTCAAATCCTCTGCCATTCAAAGTCAAGTAACAGCCTGAAGTACACACTTAAAAACGCACAAGTTGTAACAAATCTGAAGCAGACTTGTAGCAATGCTGTTCCAACAACTTGTCAACAGGATGTGTTCGCACTGCTTGTTCCCAGCTTGTTGACAAGTTGCCAACGACTTGTTGACAACTTGCTGCAAGGTTGTTGAGCTCAACAGACTTCTTACGAGTTGTTCCAACAACTTGTTATCGTCCTGCAATTCAACAATTTGTCAACCAGTTGTGAGTGACAACCTTGTAGCAACTTAATAAAATGTTCCCTGTTGTGAGACAGAGCCTAAATAAACTGAAAATAACTGCTAGGTGCAATTTTATCTTAGTTTGAAGCTGCAAATTTACAACAGTGAATTTAAAACATCTACTTTGTATACAGGGAGGCCAAGCGTTGATCTGTGTTTTAATTGAATTATAACACTACATTACACTAATATGTCATATAATAATAATACTCCTATAGTCGAACATGTAATAACAACATATAAGTTGATTTGTATCTGTATGTTTTTCAGTTTATTTAAGATCTATTATTAGCTTATATAAAAGCATCGCCTTTCGAACCTGACAGCCCGTTCGCAGGATACACGCGTTATTTCGCACTGAAATAAGAAGCGAGACAAGGGATGACATTACAACACGGCGATGTTTTATTTTGAAGCCGTATGTGCTTGTTAAAACGAATTTTAGCTTGAAATTCGGCTACATGATATGTCTAAGGCTAAAGTACATAGCCATTGAAAAATTTTGTGAAATAAAAGCCCTAGAGTCTTATAAATAGCTATAGTTTTTAATAGCGACGTTTCGTAGCATGAACGCCCTGACTTGACTGGACCTAATGTAGTTCATTTTAAATTTTAAACATTGAAACCGTTACGGTCGACACAAATTGGCTTCTCACCTCGAGTTTGCTTTCTTGTTTATATCATTGATTCCTAAAGGTTGACGGCGTTTATTTGACACGACACTCATTGCATAATTATCGATCCACTCAAGTCGGGGCGTTCATAATACGATAAACTTTAAGAGTTTCATCCCTTGTCACGTATTTATATGTTCCCACCTACTATTTCAAATCCCGCGCGTCTCCCACGCGCGTATCCTGCGAACGGGCTGTCAGGTTCGAAAGGCGGTGCTTTTATATAAGCTAATAATAGATCTTAAATAAATAAAAAAACATACAAATACAAATCAACTTATATGTTGTTATTATATGTTCGACTATAGGAGTATTATTATTATTATATGGCATATTAGTGTAATGTAGTGAAATAATTTAATTAAAACACAGATCAACGCTTGGGCCCCCTGTGCTTTGCATATAAATTATGTGAGAGAAAAAGAATCCAAATTGGAAAAATTGCAATTATTTTCCAAATCGGTTCTGTAAATTATGAAACTATTACATTTTTTGTGTAGATATTATTGACTGTGATGATGACCCTCCGTGTCACGTGAATGCCACATGTAATGATATCCCTGGATCATATGAATGCAACTGTTCGGAAGGTCTCACTGGCAATGGCACATATTGTGAAGGTATAGACCTTTTTTTATAAATATACCTTTTTCAAGTCACATTTAAAAGGATGTGAAGTTTTATCCCTCAATACACCATTATGTTTGCAATATTATTAAACATTTGGTAATCTTACTGTTTGTGTGTGTTGGTGATATATACTCAGGTGAATATGATGTTTGTGATATTACTTTGGGTGTGCATCCACACCGGGCAAGCTGAAAGTTTACTGACCACGGTGGGAATCGAATCCACGAACTTTGGGATACTAGTCCAATATTCTACCGATTTGCCCTCCTAGCTCAGTTCGTAGAGCATTGGACTACAGTAGTATCCCAAACGTCGCGGGTTCGATTCCCACCGTGGTCAAGCAAACTTTTCAGCTTGCCCGCTGTGGATGCACACTCAGATTAACATCACAGATATTTGATAATCTTGATCTTATTTTGAAATTATTAATACGCTACCATAAGTATGATTCCTTACGATTATGTGAGAATTTTGTGTGAAGTTTTGTGAGAAACGTTCTTCAACCTTGTTGCTGAGGACAATTTTCAACAGGTTGTCGTTTTTTAAACTAAACTAAACTAACTTGGTTTCTACTAGATAGTTTTCCATGAATTGGTGCTTTTGGACGACATCAATGTCAAAAAATCTCTTTCAACACAGTCTTATTGTTACTAAAAAATCTAAAACCTTAGTTAAACAAACAATATGGCGGATTACTGACGAGGCTGTGATAACAGCGAAATTAATATAGAACGCCATGCGATTTTTTAGTAAGAATAAGACTGTGTTGAAAGAGATATATAGACATTGATGTCGTCCAAAAGCACAAATTTCCTTGCTTCAACTAAGAGACGTTCATATAGCTCTCCATGAATAAACTGATTTTTCTTTCTTGTTCCAGTGAAGAGCATGCCCTGTAGTGAAGTACAATTCGTATAAAGGTGGTTTGAAATAAGCAGCCATAAAACGTTTTCTTGAGATTTTCGTATTCTAATTTCTCGGATTCACATTTATTCAAGAGACTATCATATAAATATATCAACCTTTATGATGAACATGAGTGCTTTTTTCTTTCGTTTTTTAAGATACCGTAGAAATATCTGAATAGGTATAGTAACCCTCTCTCTCCTCCGCAGAGGCTTATATGAAGTTTCTAGTGACAGAAAAGTGAGCGCGCAAGGAGTGATGGGAAGAGCGAAGTAAAAGAAGCCTCTGCTAGTTAATACAATCAAAATGGCGTCGTATGTAATCGTTTGGAGTTCGGTTCGATATCAACTTTCGAGGGTTAAAACATGTTTTCCACTTTCCTTTTCAGGCGTACTTGACTCTCCTGGAGTGAATCCAATATCAATATCTTCTTCTGTCCATTTGCACCGAAAAATATTGAGAAATTACAAATGAATTTAAATGGATATGAGCTATCTAATTATAAATATCCTCTAAATTGCAACATTTCTTTATAAAAATGACTCTACTGAACTTCGACACTCAGATTATGGTCGAAGATTTATTTCAATTTCTTCCACATTTCCGTCAATTTCGAGTTTAAAAAAGATCAAACAACTGGTTTGGTTCAAAAACCATACTTCGTTGCATTATGTGGCAGAGCCTTCTCCGCTTCATTTCAATCTTCCCATCACACCGCGCGCGCTCGCTTTTATTCAGGAAACTTCATGTAAGTTATTTGTAAATACTTACGGAGGCTCTGCAGAGGAGAGAGTAGTAACCCTCATGCCCTTTGTATATTTGCCAGTTCGTAGAAACAGACTTTAACTAAGGCGCGGTGGTACAAATTCTACAGTTAAATTTGGGTGCTTTCTTAATTTGCTAAGACATTGATGAATGTATGGTTGGAGGTTTCTGTCATGACAATGCGACATGTAACAATACTTATGGATCATACAGTTGTGAATGTTACGAAGGTTTCACTGGCGATGGCAAGAACTGCACAGGTAATATTAGAACATTTTAATTTGAAAAAGGTCTCTAAATATCATAACTAAGGCCCTTTTTCCCACTTGTTAAATTAAACATCCTGGGATTTGTAATCCCAAACAATCACAATATATGCTTTCATTAACGTACAATGCCAGTAATTCGGTTGTGTTCTTCCAGGTTGTAAGTAATTTATCTCGTTTTTTTTAAAGAAACTTTGCATGCAGTGAATGGATTCCTTGTAGATTGCAAATATGTAATTGATTCGTATTGATAAATTTGAGTCTTCAGTGGCTGTGCAGTTGCAGTTATTCTGCGAATCGTACCCGTAAATTATGATACTACCAAAAATACATGCTGACGCGCTCAGATTATTAATATTTTTTTTAATATTTTATTTTCATTTCCTTGTGTTAGATATCATTGAATGTGATGATGAGCCTCCTCCGTGTCACGTGAATGCCACATGTAATGATATTCCTGGATCATATGAATGCAACTGTTTAGACGGTTTCACTGGCAATGGTACCTATTGCGATGGTATGGACGTTTTGATTATAGTAACTTTCTATTCATTCCTAGTAAATAATTTGTACTGAAAATACATGCATGCAGAAACGCCTTGCTGACAAAACCATTGTATTTTCCGAACATGAAGTATTTAAAGTAGTTGTCATGGTAACACGATAATTTTGTTAAGAATATTTTTACAAATGAAAAACGTCAAAAATCATCTAAAAATATCACTTTTAATTACAAAATTATCAATTCCCCAAACATATATATGTTAGGTATGTTATTCTACGTAATATAAGCTTCAATTTAAGGTAAAATTCAACCTCAAACGCTTCGCAAAACGTTTTAAAATGTTCCTTATTATAAATGTTCCCTGCCGTTATCGTCGACTGGTTATCGTTAAACTTTGAGTTTGAAATTATCAAATGATTTCAAATTCTCGCATTCAAACAACTTTGCTTTCTTTTTTATTTAAAAATTTTAGTATAATAAAAAGGGCAATCAATAGAGAAACACTGAAATTATATGCTGTCTTTTTCATTTAAAATATACGTAACGATCAGCTTTTAAAGCTATTATTATAGCGAACATATATAGAGCGAACAATGCATCAATATTTAAAACGAACCTACCTTCGTTAACGTCGGCGACTTTACTCCCTTCTTTTATAGCAATTCTTTCGTCTTTATTTTCTTAGAAAGCTTTTGAAATTCGCAAAATTTTGCAAGAAATCGTCGAATCAAGAAATGTTTGCTATTTCGCTGTCGTCATGCAGTTTTCGCTATTCATCCAATCAGTTTTCGCTATTCATGACAGTCTACCATATTTTTGAGATCAGTGAGCATGACCAACACCCCAACACCGTTGGACACCCACACCCGCGATCATTGATGAACTTTAGACTTCGCTAATGCTTTCGTTTCCCCGGGTGTAAATAACCGGGCGGAATTAGTACCCTCGCCCCGGGCTTACGCCCGGAACGGCGCCGTTGGCTCGGCGATTACGAAATATTTTTATGAAAATAGAATATTCCTCCCAAACCTTTTCATTTTTTCATTGTAATTGGCGTGAACGTTGTAATTGGCGTGAACTGTCATGTAGGACATTTATTTATTTTACAAACGTGTATGCAGAAGAGTTATGGCATGTTCATAGTTCCCTGTTTCCCTAAAATTTAATTGTCACTGCATTCATTTACTTAAAACCACAGTATGAGGGAAAACGTGTCCGATATTAAACCTTGTCGCTGTGAACAATGAACTTCATTTTTTTAAATGATTTGTCATGACTAAATATTACTGGATTTGTAGCAAGATCTTTTCTCGTTGCATGTCGAAGCTCAAACCATTAGCGCGCTAGGAAGTGCACCGTACTTCCGACGGACGTTTCTCAGTAAAATATGGACTAGATTCCAGTTAATTTCATTTCACGATCAAATCCAAGATGGCGGCCAATGTGAAACTTAAGTATTTACCCCCTAGGTCACTCTTTTCAGTCAGATATGTCAAGCGTCAAGCAAGATATGCAAAAAAACTGTAAAAAGTATTTTTTCAAAAGTTGTTTCAAATGAGAAAAGCTAATTTTTACCCCCAATCTCCTTTAGTGAATATTAGAAAATTAAACCAACCCTTTACATAGTAGAACCGTATATGGATAATGCTAGGTTGTGCTCATCTTACTAGATGTTGACGAGTGCGAACCAAGTCGTTGTCATGACAATGCTACATGTAATAATACTATTGGATCGTTCATTTGCCGTTGTATTGAGAACTTCAGAGGCAATGGTTTTGAATGTGAAGGTAAGAATCTCTTTCCTTATGCTGGATTATAATTAAGTCATCTATTGATTACACTTCTAAACCTGCTTTTTGGTTGAGTGAAATAAGTCATGAAAAGAAAGGAAATATTTACCTTCTGAGCAAGCTGCAATAACAAATGAGGAAGAAATTTCTTCTCAAATTTCATTTGTGTTTCTTTGAATGTTATTTGTTTTTCTATGATTAAAAACTTGTTCCATTGCTTGTGCTTACACTGTATTACATTAAGGGAGGTTACCAGCATACCAATGTACTTGGTGGTAGTGTCTTCGTATACCTAAATGTTAATCTTGGGAAATGTAGCATGCTTATTTTATACTGTGTCTCAGCTTACTTCAACAATAAAATACTGCATACCAAAAGTAAAATGGTCTAAACGTTTAGTCCTTTCTCAAGATGGTGCACATGGTACTCCAAGATACATGTAGTTATTCATTTTTCTCATCTTTAAATCATTTTTTTTTAAAATACATCATTGAGTCTCGCCGCCTATACTAACGTTGCCCTCAATAGTACGTTAGTCATGTGTGTGGTTGTTACTGCATACTAGTGTCGAGAGAATAGTTAGGCTATATTGTTTTATATTCTTGCCTGTAGACAATTTTTACACGTAAATTCATGAAGTTTCATTTTTTTATAGAGTTCATTAACTGTACAGATTACAACGGATGTGATGAAAATGCGGTGTGCAACAACATTACTGGGACCCCTGTGTGCACATGTAATGAGGGTTTTGTAGGGAATGGAAGTGTTTGTGAAGGTATTTATCTATCCACAGTAGAGCTGTGCGGTTAACCGAAAAATTCGGTTCTTCCGGTACTTTTTTTAGCACCGAAAAATTATACTCAAAGAACCGGTAGTTTAAAATAAATATTTCATGTCCATAAATAAATTCCAATTGTTCTTTTGAAATATTCAGAAATTTATACAAACTTACAAAATTTAAGGCATATAAATTCATCTATTTAGTAAAAATGCTCAAAACATACATAAATGAGTTCATACATTTCTACTGTTCTTCTTTTTCGAAAATAACCGAAACCGAACCGAACCGAGGTTTTTCTGTTCCAAAAAACCGGAACCGAGATAAAATTTTTGGAACCGCACAGCTCTAGTGCACAGTATTTTGATTCTTATTATGTGTACATTTATATCTCCCTTTTTATTACTCATATATTTTGGCTTGTTTACACTGCCAAAACGTCTAGAGAAGTGCTGTAGTCGGTATGTTAAATTTTACAATATTCAGCTCGTGGAAAATGAGAAAGCATTGATATTTTGGCAACATTACAAAGTTTTGATGTATTCTCCATTGTTTCCTTGAAGCATTGTTGCAAAAAGAAAATATGTTATGTCATATCTTCAGTATGATTTTTTGTAAGGAAACAATATTTCCTGGTTTTCTCAACTTGTTGAAACATGACAATTTTTCGAAAAACTGTTTCCTACGTTGCCCGGGGTTGATTTCTACAGTTTTACTGCTCGTAAAATATTACTGCCAGGTTTGTCTTGTAAGTTTGTGCAGCAAACATTTCTCAATCGTTATTGCAGATGAAAATGAATGTAATGCGACCATGTATCCCTGTCATGAAGATGCATTTTGTAACAACACAATTGGGTCATTTGAGTGCGTTTGTAAAGATGGTTTTGAAGGAAATGAGACACACTGTCAAGGTATAGCCGATGAATCTATCACTATCTAAACGAATGCAGGTTTGTGGAAGGTATTGTCCGTGCATGCTTTAAAGGTTATATCTTTCAAGAAAAGATCGTCTTTCCACATGTTTCAAACCATAGCACTCCCTTAAATATTACCATTACACCAATGGCATGTCGCTTCGGTTGGTCACAATTCAAAAGAAATTAAGAGAAATATTTCAACGACCAAATATTTCTCTGTAAGTAGAAATTCAGCTTAAGTTTATTATAGGCTTTTATATTCCTGATGTGACATTTCAAAGGCAAAACTCAAAACAGCAAAACGCTATCACGCAAAGCACAATGGACATGCATGCATACAGTATGTAACTAATGGTCCGACACTCGCTATAGTTATGGTTGCCATACCCCACAAGCCTTTTTGGTATCGATTTTATCTGTTCGTCTTACGCAATTCAAGATCAAAATTCTATTGGAATTTAAACTTTTTAACGATGTTTGTTGGGCATGCTCAGTGCCTATGCAACGTAATTTCACCGAACGTTTTCTTGATTGCATTGCAAAGATAATTTAAAATGACTATGTAACCTCTTTGGTAGAATTTTTGTAGCTCTCTTCTTTCTTGAGATATTCAACTTTGTTTGTTATGCAAATATCACCCTTATGACATCACACTGCATAATGACATTCTTAATAAGCGTCATTAGTTTCAACAGTAGTCAAAAAATTCTGCATACAAATACGGAAGCATAATCAATAAACTTGGTTTATGCACATACAAGTGCTATTTTAGATACTTTTTATCGTTATGCCACAAAATAAACATTCTTTTAAAAACTCATTATGCATTGTGACGTCATAAGGGTGATATTTGCATATCAAACAAAGTTGAATATCTCAAGAAAGAAGAGAGCTACAAAAATTCTACCAAAGAGGTTACATAGTCATTTTAAATTATCTTTGCAATGTAATCAAGAAAACGTTCAGTGAAATTTCGTTGCATATAGGCACTTTCAGAAATTCAATTCACTTCATTAGCACGCTTGTTGTGTTTTTCGCGCATCGAGGTCAACATTTTGCGGGTTTCAGAGGACAACCAGAACTGAATCAGCCGTATGTGATTTAACGTGCAATGAAATATTTTAGATATCGATGAGTGCGAACCTGCTATGCATGACTGTGATGACAATGCAACATGTACAAATACAAGAGGAGGTTACAACTGTAGCTGTGATAACGGTTTCAGTGGCAATGGATCTGTTTGTGAAGGTGAAGTACAGTTGTCTTTTTTAAATTGATTTACAAACTTTGTATTACAAATCTAAGACCAAATAATCAAATTTAGTAATTATTTTCGGAAAATGGTTCGTTTTAGCTTGAAAACTTTGTAGATGGTAGTAATGATGAATCTGTTATGATTCTTCATGAGTTTCAAATCCACGTTAAATTTCATGCCAAGAGCTTCCAATTTCCGACCACTAGTCATACCTTTAACAGCTTAATTTTTTTATGTGCAACTTTCATGTTGACAAAGGTTGCGTGCGTAAATTATGTGTATTTGTGTGGTATGGTATGATGGGTTTGAACATCAAAGCATATGTCTTTGACCACAAGGTGGGAGTGGCAGGTTTTCAACGTTTCCCTCGTCTGCACTCTAGTGCAGAAGAGCTATTGCCATAGCCTGGCGTCCGTGTCCGCGTCCTTATCATCAGGTTAGGATGCCACTTTCAGTTTAATATTCTATTCATATGTTTACCACTCGTTGCAACATATGATGTAACAGGTGAGGGAAAGGGGCGGATTGTCGAACAAGACTTCAAAATCATAAGGTCATTAGGTCAGCGTTAAGGTGCTAAATAGTTGACATTATAATTATGGCTTTATGCTCATGATCAGTGCCCTAGCAAGCTCGATAAAGCCTAGTTTCCACTTGGTCGTTAGTTGTCGCTGGCACGACAAGTGGCTGATGTAATAGAGTGTCAACAAAACTTGATGAAACTCGACCGATTTGCATATAACACACAAGAAGACTATTGATATTAGACTATTTCACATCTACCGCTTGTCGTGCCAGCGACAACTAACGACCAAATGGAAACTAGGCTTAATTGGGGGGGGGGCTCATATTCATATATTCGTGTTATTAATTTCTTTTGAAATCGATTGTTTTGATGGTCTGTGAACACGAATATATGAATATGAGCCGCCCCCCCCCAATTATCGAGGTTGCTACGGCACTGATGCTAGAGGATATGCTCAATCGCGTCCTTCATATGTGGCGTAACTTCATATTTCAAGTCCGACTATATAAGGACTGGACTAGATTTCAAGTCCGCGCGATTTTATCAAAGTGGCAATTTGATACCCGGCTAAAAATGCGAGGAAATCTAGTCCGGTCCGAATACGAGGGTTTGAAATTGGCTCTCATACAAATATATCACTACTTAAAGTGAGGTAAATTAATTTTGATCCTGTCCAAAGACTGAATTAATTTTGATCTAGTTCTAGGACCGGATCAATATACTTCACCAGGTATCTAGTATTATCATGTGAGCAAAATAATGCAATATGGTTTGAGAGATAGCATTGTCCCACATATGGATAAACATACGTAATATTAAGCTGGAAAT